GAGTGATTGGAGTGCTTTATTCTTCTCTTCATCTGGGAATAAAATTTTCTTATTGATTTACTACAGGTTTATTCTTCATTGTTTATTCATTGTTAAGAGGATTGATTTCAGGAAGCTTCCATCAACAAATTCCATAATAAATCTCTCAGCCGAACATTATTTAAATCAGCATGATTTAAAAAAAAAAAAATTAAAAGTCATAAAGAGATTAGAGAATGAGGAAAACTAGTACCGTTTGGAAAATTCAATTTTACTAATGGTATCTAATTTCACATATTTTAATAGTTTGAACCCGACTTTACAAAAATGATTTTTCAATACATTTGTAGCTGAAGTTTTTACAAATGATGTTTATTTTTTAATTTGCATTATTTTATTTGTATTATTAATAAATATGGTTTTAACAGAAAACTATCTTTAGCGCACACAGTTATAGTAAAGGATTTTATTATAGTTATCACTTATGTACATGTAGGTTAGGTTAGGTAGCGAGTTGTCTTAGGCGATCAACAACTTGGTTAGTACGCCCTTGAGCTATTGTGGTATTTTTAACTTATATTTCTAAATGTATGAAGAATGTAATGAAAAAAAAAGTTTCCTTTTTTGTATTGTATTAATTATTATATTTTATGGTACAATTGTGTTTGATTTAATAGCTTTATAATATTTTTCATTGAATCTTCTGAGTCTCTTAATGCTAATTCTCTGCTACGAGGTATTTTGTTTTTTACAAAGGCTTGATGTAGTAATGTACAATCGTTTATTATATGATTTATGATTAGCGGGGACTGTCAGGTATCGCAATGTTGTTGCCCCTCTTTTATTATTAAATGGACATGAGTCAGGTTAGTATGACCAATTTTCATCATTCTCACTAACACTTCTTCTCTTCTGTTTCATCTTCCAGCGCTTATCCATTGTTTTGTATTTTTTAAAAATATTTCAAAGTTTATTAGTCGGCGGAATTTCCTTCCAAGTGGACTCCCAATTATTTGTACTCTGTCTTTTAGCAATGTTTTTACATCACTCGGGTCGTTTATTTGGAGAGTTAGGATATTCATATGAGCAGCTTCTTTAGTATCTTTATCCGCTGGCTCATTTCCTGGTATCGGAGTGTTCTGGAGTCTAGACAAAAATTATACTTTTATTAAGGTTGTTTATAATTTCGATATATTGGTCAATTCCATTCATTGTAGGTCCGGTTTTATGTACATGTATTTAAAGAACAAATTAAAGATTGAATTTCACTACATTCATTGGATATAAATTAAAAATAAATTAATAAAACTGATTAATAAAAGAATATTATTTTAACTATAACTGTAAATCAACGATAATGCAGTGCATTTGTTTTTTTTTTTTTGCTGTGTAAAGTGAAAATAAATTTTTCGAATAGTTTTTACAGACATTTTATTATACATTATATTAGATTAGATTACATTACAATAATGTTATGCGATTTTACAAGTTAGTTATCATGTTTTCCTAAAATCATTATCTTTCCAACGCTATTTGTACCGTTATTTTCAGGAATTGATATAAAGATGTGTAATAAACGCCCCAACACAATCCAAAGCCATATCTTTTCGCCAGATTCGAGCTAGAATTCAGTATACTTAAAAAAAAAAAAAAAAATACTAAACGTTTATTACCATTTAGGCAAAAAAATATATACGATACAATTTTAATTTTGAAAAACTGTTTTAATTTATTACAATCGAAGAGTAAATTACTCTGTGAAATTAAACTCATATGTATTTTTTGGATCTTAATCTAAGATAAATATGTTTACATATTTACATTAAATATGTTATTCATTTTACTTTATATTTATTTATTTTATTTTTCTAATTTTTTATTTTTTATTTTTTATTTTTTATTTTTTACCATCACTAATCATGTTTCTCATACCTTGTTATCTGGTTATTCTTAGCCCTGATGAAGGCCTGAACTTCAGGTCGAAACGTCGGCATATGTAAAAAATAAATATTATCATTTATTTTTGCCTTCCTTTTTGACTGACCACCCCAACTATTCTTCTCTTCATTATCCACGACAGTCAACCAATTACCAATTATAAATATGTTTAAATTTAATTTTGTGGCTCTTAAATTTGCATTAAGTAAAAATTCAGGTTTCATCTATGTGAACCTTAGTACTTTTAAGTCATTTTGTATTATTTTATGTAGGTATTGAATATATTTTTTTATTGCATAAGCAGGCATTGTACAGAAAAATCACATCGGGCTCTACGAGTATGAATGCATGACTGTTAACATGAAGAGTGATTGGAATGCTTGTAAGCCGAAAAACATGAGAGGTGATAAGTGGTAGAATGAATTACGATTATGTATATAAATTATAATTATATAAATTATAATTATTTTTATACTCCGGTCTTAAGAAATCATCCGATATCCTACATCATTGGCCTTGTTCTACGTCTTGATTGCCCTGGCGTTATTCACGTCCATAAGTTAAACAATAATATAAATTTACTTTCATAAATGCATGAAAAATAATGTAAACACCAACTGCACATACATTTTTTTTTTGTTATCTACTATTGTATAAGTGATTGATTGTACGCTATCGTAAATATTTATGTACAACGAGGATGATCAGTATGTCATATTAAATGAACTGAAAATATTTATCCTGCTTTGGTTATGTACACGCAAGGTTTGTCAAATTATTGCTACAATGTGACTAATTGCACAAACACGACACTCTACATATACACTGTCGGTGATCACAAAGGTGGTGCGGGACATATCTCAGATTCACGTCCCTCCATCAGACACTCCCTCATTCACGTCTGGTAATGGTGATGATTTATAGACATCATCGATCATTGTATGATAGCTTATGATTAAGTTGTATTTTAGATGTCTTCCTTAATACTATCTCGTTGGAACAAATTTTATTGAAAATCGATTAAATAATGGCAATTAAAATAAAATAAAATAATAGATTACTAAATCATAACCTTCCTTAATTCATCTGGAAATTATTTATTTTTACTTTTCTACCTGTACTAGGTAAGGAAAGTATTGCGCTCGGGTCAAATTTCCGAAAAGCGGTTTTCGGCCTATGTATACGTTTCAGAGTCCCCTTAGTCCGAAAAAAAATTTTTTTGGCTGTCGGTCGGTTTGCCTGTCTGTGCCAAGATAATCTCGGGAGTAGACCGATTTTTTTTGCTTCTTTTTATTTATTTTTTAGGGTTTTGACTACTGATGCCTGAGTCACAAATTAGATGCTCCCTGCGGAATAAGTGAAAAACATATTTCCTTCCTTATAATTTTCTAATTAATGTCCTTTCAATTTTCATACATGTACTAAATTTCCGAGAAAATTCAGAAAAAAAAGTTATGTAGAAAAGAGAATGTTTTGGGGGCCTAACTCGCTAAGTATATATTTATTGTTATTTGTTACCGTTATTTTATTATTGTTTATTTCATAAGTTCCTAACTTGTTACCGTTATTTTTTGTTTCATAAGTTCCTAATTTTGTTAGTGTTATCTTATATATCCCAACCTTTCTTCCGCTACTTTCTATACTCATAATTGCTGATGTTATTTTGTATTTCCTTTATTTATATACCATATATTTACTTTCCACTTTAATGTTAAGTTTATTCTACCAAAATGTTATTAGGATATACTTTATACCAATATATTATTACTTTTACCCTCTAATAATTTCTCATATTTATGTAATCTTGTCTTTTCATATCCCTGATGACGGCTTGAACTTTGGGCCGAAACGTCGGAAAAATATAATTTATTTATTTTTACTTTGTTACTTGTATGACTGAACAACCCAACCAACTTCTCTTCAATATATCTACAACAGTCAACTATTAATCCACTATCATGATTCAGAATAGTTGTAAACATGAAAAAATATTACTATGGAAACATAGTAAAAAAAAAATTAAAATGAATCTCATTGCATACTGAATAACTACAGTGTTGATTTTATATGTCGATCATTTTAATAAGCTCATGCTTCTGAAACTGCAATAAACATTTACGGTCGTCCAATAGCTTTCACTTCACAATTGTTTTAAACTGAATGCTTTATCCTTGTCTTTCACACATTTTACATTCGTTGTTAAATTTGTGTTAGTATTGTAGACTAGTGACGTCAAAATCTATTGAGTATATCGTTTTTGAAGTATAGCATTTCATATATAATATTATAATATAAGTTGTTTTTTATTGTAATAAGTTCTTTTATATCATATATACAGAGCATATAGATAAAGAAATCTACAATTAAATAACAATACGCTCAACAGTTAGACAAGGTGGTGTGGTGTGGTCAGCATTCGCCTATAATTCACCTTATAATACCAGATATGGCGATAAAAGTAAGTTGTTTACTTATAAATGAGTATCTGAGAAAGATACTCATTTATAATTCATTCATAATTGCTGTAATATTATGGAATAAATTATCTGCCAATGACGGACTTCAATTATATTTCAATAACTAGAAGTGGCTTACCGACTTCCACAATAAATAATAAGTAATTATATAATGGTAAATATTATTTATTTAGTCCTAAAAATATATTTTTTAAAATATGACCCTTTTTTTTTAATTTTAAGGCTTCAACCACTAGGGTAATTATTGTCTTATTTTCATCGAGAACTAGATTGTATTCTCAAGTTTAGAAAATTTCAGAAAAGCAAATAGTTTATCAACCTCATTCGTATTGTCCTGTAAAATGGAGTGTAAATTGTTTGTCAAGTCACAGAGAGTCTAAATGTTTTGTAAGCTCTGCATTCTGTTAAAATGTCTTTCACTGTTAGAGGAGTCCCACAAGTTTGGCATGTTGGCGAAGAATCTCGGGCCATCGGGTGTCCATGTGTAAGGCGTGTATGACCTATACGGAGGCGTGTAAGAATTACTTCCTCTCTGCGGTTATTTGATGATGCCCAAGAGGAAAAGTCATCCTTAAACTCCCTTAATTTATTTTCAGTTACAAAAACATGGCCTTACTTATCATGTATTGAAAAAGGGAAGTTGCAAATGGCAGTGATGATAACACAGCATATTAAAATAATCTATTGTATTGCGCCATTATTCTCTTATCATAATCTGCAATTGATACGCTTTAAGGGTTACAGTAATACATATTTTTATTTTATCTATTTAATTTTTTTATACAGCTCATAAAATTCAATTGCCGTGCCTATCCCCTTGATTACTTTTTTTCAATGCTCCTAGGACGAATAGGATATTGATATACCATGAAATTTCACCAACAAGATAAGATGATTTGTACAATTGGCACCATCAGACAGTAGTTAGAGCATATGGTGGCATATAACCTGTATCACCATAGGTAATCAGCACGACTTTACCAGACCCTTCAATGGTTAGCCATGTCATACTGGCGTGCCTCAGAGTCAACCTTAACCAACCTTCCGCAGGGTACTGCAATGCTCTGCATACGAAGTACCTTATAACATTCGCATGGCAGACGACAATGGTGTAAGTATCATTCTGTTGGTGAGGCTCGGCTCTATGAAAATATTTTCGAAATGCAGCCTCGATTCTCGCACCGTCTTGATGAAACTTGTAAGGTGATTTCCAGTTGGTCATAGGTGGTTCGGGTGGTATCGGTGAACCCTCTTCGAGTAGCATGCAATCCTTTACTGGAACATCCGGAATATGTGAAGAAATTATTTTGGCTGTTTCAACAGCTCTTGTCATAGTCGAATGAACTATTTCATTGTAAGGAATTTCCAATTCTTTCAACCTCTTCCCCGTCATCATTGCCTGATCTATCCCTAACTTAGTCAAAACCATTTCCTTGTCACTCTCGCCACCTTTATTGTAATGGCCATGCCTGATTAAAATTATGTGCCTTGAAGATTTGGGTAAGATATCAATTTCATTTTCTTCATCTTCATTCGATTTCAGTCCCATCTGTTTAACAAGCCCCCTTTTATCCCAATTGAAGTCCCATTTCGGTTGAATGATCATTTTATTTTGATGTTCTAATTTGTAAATATTTTCAGTAAAAGATCGAGGATTTAATATGCTGGTTTTATCAAACCCATGATAGGTACTTACGGCTCCAATAGATCTAATTCCAATAAAATTACTAGGCAAATATCTAAATTTGAACATTAGCGAAACATAAATTTGAATTGACCATACAGGTTATAAAAACATTAATGAAACATATGATCAATTGATTTAATTTGTGGTGATTGGTCAGGACTATATAATTGCAAAGAGGCTATAATAATTGAATTTACAGATAAGTTATAATTCGGTTGATCAAACTATTTCTTTTTTTTTAAAGCAAGTAACTAATTAGACCATGTAGGTTTATTCGAATTTTAAATCCGAATTTACTTTAGAGTTTTCTATTAATTAATTTTGTTTTTCTGCATCGTATGTTAAGAATTTCAAACTATTTTTTGTCACTGCGAAAGTTAGCTTGGCATCATAAGGAAATTTTAAAAGTTACTTGAGTAGGATAAACTGAATTCCTGATTTGGAAGTACTGATTTAACACCTGTTTTTTTTTGTTTTTTTTAAGTTGATCGTAATGTTTGATTTAATAGCCAAATTCGATAAAGAAATAGCCCTATAAATATTTAAAAAATAGAATATATGAATACAATTAAATTTTTTTTTTAATTTATTTATTTATATGATATTTACAACTGTATACAAAAAATACATCTGGTAAATTCGCACATGGATATAATGACATGGAACACATGTTGAGAAACTACCCATGGGTACCACTCTAATATTAAATACTTGAATACAATATGCAGCGTATAATCTTTTAAAAACACAGCACTAAATATTTATTTTTTTAATTTTATTGAATAGTAAATAATATAATCTGCTACATTGAAGGGCAATAAATAATAAGGCTAAATATGTTCATTTATACCATATATACATATTGTAGGGATATAAATAAAAATAATTAAAAAGACAAATAAATAAATAAAACAATATTAAAAATAAATAATTAAAAAAATAATAACGTAAGTAATGCATAAATGAAATTAATCAATAAGTAAAAATAAAGTAAATTTTCGTAAAACATTCAATTCTAAGCACAGTATTTACATTCGCCCGGGTAACCCCGAACCAATTTTTGTTCTAAAAAAGTGAAAGGCGAAGCAGGATTCCAGGAGATCCCAGTGACTCTCTTCGAGCCACGCTAATTACAAAATCATTAAACATAAATTTAGAAGAGAGTAAAATTCATGTTTAAATTAATTGTATTATAATTAGTGGAATAATAAAAAAAAAAAAAAAAAAAGATTGCACACTCTATCATCATGTTTGGTTATCATTTCCTAGTTTTCTTAACCTCGCACCACAAGTTGACTGATCGCCCAATTAAAAAAAAAGTCAACAGAGACTGAAGATATTATAGATTATATTTGTCTCGTTGCCATGTTTCACTTGGACAATGAATGATCCTTAATAGGAATGGATATTTTTTTGTAATAAGTTCACATTTTAAAATAAAGGCAGTAAGATAATCAATGAACATACAAGGTATTTGATCTTGAAATACATGATTTTTAAAACTAATTTATTGTAATAGTATGAACTACCCATAAAATATATGATATTTTCTTTAATATAAGGTACTAGATGGCTTGTGCGAATAATTCGCAGAAAATTTTGTTTAGTGAAGAAATAGCAAAACAATATTAAAATAAGTCAACCATTTACCAATTATAAAAATAAGTAGTTCCTATTTATTATGTAAGGAAAGAATTAATATTTTTTCCTTGGTCGATTACAATATTCTAATAAACATAATAGACTAAAAGTATTTGTACACATTTTTTTGCTAAGACCTATTTTTAAACACTGACTGAAAAGATAATATAAGTAATAAAGACAAAATAATTCCGCGATCGTGTGATTTTCTAAATTATTAGAAAAAATAAAATTGGAGAACAACCCAATGTCTTTAAGAAAGAATAAAGTTAATATATCAGCCAGGAAAAAAGTGTAGTGGGCTATTCTACACCTAAATGGAATATTTTTAAACCGGAATAGATTATTAAGTATACCAAAACTAATGGACTGTATCTTATTTAATAATTGTCTGATTTTTTTTATTTGTAGAATTTAGTAATCTTTCAAATTATTATGGGTACAATCAAGAAAAATACATACTTGTTGAGTTATTCCCAAATAAAGTTTCTTTTCCTACATAACTTTTTTTCCCAGAAATTTGGACGTGATAGGACTATTTTTCTAATGTGATGGAGAAGAATATCTTCGAAATGAGTGGTAAATCATTGGATTTGATGAAGAATTGTCGAAGTTATGGCGTACAGACAAAAAAAAAAACCTTTTAGAAATAATATATAGGATCATATAGGAGATAGGCGACAGACATTCCTACGTAGCGAATTTCTCCATGTATTTAAATTTATATTCTTATATATTCCATGTCTCTAAAATTCTTTTTAAAAGTTATTATTATATCACATTGTTTAATAATCTGGTACAAGCCGTATATGATGCTATGAATAATATTAATATTATGTTTGATCACAGTGCCAGACTCAAAATCTAAAATTCTTTATAATACCCATATATTTATTTATTATTTAATTTTCAAATTATAGATTACAAATGTAAATTAGTGAAATAACATTTAGTGATACATATTGATATTTAGAATATAAATACACTGACATAATGTCGTTGAAGTGGCAACACAATCTAGCATCATTGTTACACAATTGTAGCTTCTTACTTATAATATTATCTGGTTCTTTATGATTGTTTCACACTCACTTAATTTACAATAGCCTCCAGTTCTCAAAAAAATGTTTAAGCGACGATAATCTGGATGGACGTAATTATTAATTTACAAACAAAATTTAACATTGGATATAAATTTATTTTATCAATATTCAAATGTAAAAAAATAATATATTTAATTAACAAATTATATGAATAATATTTTACTCGATCGGTTTTACCGACAATTTTTAGTTTTCTTAGACATTCAAAAGAGAATTGTTAAAACATGTTCTAACTCACTGAAATTAATAAGTTTATGGGATAAGCTATTTTTTGATATTTTCTTTTCTAAAAAAAAAAAAAAAAATAAATGGAAATGGAAATCCTGGCCTGGACGAGACTGGATGTTAAGGAAAAGTTTTTTCAAGACGGATAGCATCAATAAATTAATTCGGCCGGTCGTAAGATTATATCGCTTCAATGTTATGAAGGAACTTTTCATTTTTTTTTTCTGCTCTTTAAATTATTCTTGCGACCTACATTTACGAATTGTTTACATAATACTGTCATTAAAGTAAGAAATATTTCAAATAAAATATAAAATGTTCAATCCTGACAAAAGATTTTAAATTCATCGAACAATATAAATTAGGTTTAATTAAAAACATAGAAATGTGATAAAAGCCCAATCACTTCCTGATAGCCTTTACTAAAATAATATTTATTGTAAATTTTAGAGATATCATAAACATAAAAATAAATGATAATTTAATTATTAATAAAAATCTTGTTCATTAAGTTTTCATTTAACAATTTTTTTCTTAAATATTTATTTTAAAGAAAAGTAAGTAAAAAAATATTTTTTTTAAGACTCCAATACTTTCCAACCAAAATAAGTTATCTTTTCTTTCTATCATATTATATCTAGCTAATCAGTATTTTTGATTAGCCATTGGTCCACCTTGTTGAAACACAAAGTTGAGTGAAAAAGACAGCGGTTTCGTATCAATGTTGTTCACATCTACATTTTACTTAGACACATAATAATTTTGTTTAAATTTTTCTGTTCAGATATTGATATTGAAGGAAATGTATTATATTTTTAATAAGCTATTGGTGCACACTTTTGGGACACATTGGGGCAGGTAAAACTCGCGGTTTCGTATCAGGTCTATCAGATCTCTTCTTTTTATATTATAACCGAACTTCAAGAAGTATTGTTAGTGTGTGGTTTTTTTTAACGTAATGAAATCGTTTATTATTTATTGAATATTTATTTCACGCCTTAGAGGCGTTTATTTTTTGTTAAATTCCTCATCTACCCGAGTGGGTCATTAGTAGATGAAATTTTATGTCTTTTATGAATTCAAAAAGCGGTCTGTACCATGGACTATAGACTCTCTAGAAGTCTTATTCTAGTTTCATATAGTAAGATAATGGTGGAGATAAAACAATTTTGTTTTTGGTATATAGTTTATATAAATGGTTCCCCAATGTTTTTTATATTTAACACTACCTTTCTATATGAATACTATAATAAGACTCCTTAACATTAAAATTCAATCTAAATAGCGAATAACTATTTAAGACTGTAATTCAAACGGGAGACGGGATCTTTTGAGAGAGGAAAAGTGCTCCTCAGCGAACTTTGCTCAACTTATACTTTTCCGGAAGTATCCCCGCCCCGGGGAGTGTGGAAAAATCTCTGGAAAATTGGTTTTAAATTTCAAAGGGGATAAACTCCATTATACGAGGGCTATTCCCAACCGACCCCCTGGGATACCCGGATGAATATTTTAGATATAAATCGGCTAACTGTAATTCTTGGTACGGCCAGATTACTTGTGTTCGGTGAACCAGAATAACCAGATGGTAAACTAATCAAGAGATTTCTTAATATTACGAGATTTGAAAAGAGAAGTGAGGATAAAAATAAATTCCTGAATAAAAGTGTCGATCGCTTTCGTTTAAAATTTAAGTTCCACGCTTGTAACTCTTGGTAATATCCCAATTCGAAATTTGAAAAGAATGTATAAAAAAAAAAAAATTAAATTAAACTAATCAGTTTATTTTTTTACAATCATGGTATCCTCTAAATAGAATAGTTATGTACGTATTTTTTTTTTTTTTTATAAAATTCCTAATATTATATTTCAAAAGGATATATTTATTGTCAATTTAATTTACTTTACATAGATGTATTTAAAATCCTTTCTGTTCAAATCACTTAATTAGATTTTATTTATATCAACATATGACCTCATTTCAGGCTATATTCGCCCATTTTCAAGTCCATTACAAAGAGTATGTTAGCAACATAACATTTTTCATTAATCCTCTTTAATTTTATTCAATCTGGAGCTGAACTGATAATAAATCATTCTCTATAACAACTTGTACGACACGCAATTTATTTCATTCCTTCGTATGAACGGCTAGAAAATATTAATGAGAAGCTCTCCCT